TAATGTTGCTGTTTAAATAACATCAAATCAATAATATTGATAGATTACAGCTCAATAGCATCAACATAAAATAAGCTGAATGTCAGAGGAATTAGGAAAGATAATATTACAAATTCATGAATCTATAGTTTCTACTGAAGGCTGGCCAGGGTAGTAGTAGGGGCTGAACTTGCTTCTTTTGGATACAGAGCGCTGGTTGTTTGAGGTGAATCGCAATAGTCTCCGCTGTTTGGAGTCTGCGGTGCTTCGATGTTGTTAGCAGTTTATTTGGCACCCGGTATAATATGGAGAAGGATTCATCTACGTTGGCTTTGTGGCCGGGCGGTTTGCACCAGATGTTCCAATATCGAGCTGTTAATAGTTTTGACTACACGCTTACTTAGCCATGCTGGGAGATGTTCTCGAGAATGCACGAAAAATCAAGTTCCTACAGCAACGACCAATATAACTGACTCCACAAGCGCAGTTGAATTGGTAGATACAATTTGAAGTGGCTAGTCTAGGTACTTCATCTTTCAGTCGAGGAATCACCATCGGTTGTGTAGAGACTAATACGTGTAGTTCGCCAGCATTAAAAGTTGTTTGAACTGATTTTCTTAATTTCTTCGTAATTATTTCGCTTGGTATATCGCCCATGAATTGTAGTCGTATATAAAGAGGCTTCTTTTTTTACAGATAGTGAGTACTCCTTTTCCGTTTTCTTTGTCATGTGTTTCTTGATAAATTTGTCGGGATAGCCACTTTCGATCAAAGTATCATATACAATGCTTAATTCATCTTCAATTACTTCTTCTGAGCATATAGCTCTAACTCTGTGGATGATGGTCTTCACTAAATTTTTTTTTATACTTGATAGGAACGAAGCTGTGAAAATGTTTATATTGTTCTGTCCAAGTGCTTTTCCTATGCAAATTTGTTTTTATGCTACCATTTGGTTTTCTTGTAAGTAGGACATCCAGGAAGGCAATTCTGTCTTGGGATTCCTCTCCCCATGTGAATTTCATAGCCGAATATACTTCATTGAATTCAGTAATTATTGTATTCCTATCAGAACCATTATCACAAAGAATAAAGGTATCATTCATATATCGGCAATAAAATGAGAGCTTACTGATAAGGTTGAATTTATCGAAAAGAGTACTCTTTGTTCAGTATCCATTCTTTTGAAAACTCGTATAAACAAATTTAATCCTTACAAACCAACTCTTGAAGATTTACTTGATGCTCACTAGTAACTTGCTACAGGACGGAGTTTCTTGTACTTCTAGTGAGAATTCGTAACCAGTGAGAGGTTCATCAATTCAAGTGTGAGGATCGATTTCCCACCGATAACATTGGTTGGTGGTCGTGCTAAATTATGAATCGGTGGGAGTTGGAATTCATGGGCTAACCAATTGATTCGGGTCCCAGTGACTGAATGGTATAGGAGTCTGCTTGCTTTGTTACCGGAAGATCCTTGGTTCGAACTACATGTGGTGGGTGCGTACTTCCGATGATCCCCAAACTGGGATGAAACAGCTGGCTGTCCAGTACTCCCTGGTTTTCAAAGGTTCTCTAATTGATAACAATCTATGATAACTTCGCAAATGACAAATCATCTTAAAAGACTGATCAATGAACAGAAAGCCTACTGTTTTCGATCATTTCTTCAATCACATTCTACAGTTATTATGACTATAATAATAATGAAATAATTATTGTCACTAACAACATTAATGCTCTTTTAAATTACATTAAATCAATAATAATATCGATCGGTTATAGTTTGAAAGGATATGTGAGTCATAATATGCATCAATATGACACTAAGCTGAATATCAGATAAAAATAAGAGAAGTAAGACAGAAATTATGAACTTATGGGTCATAAAATAGACTAGGATAGCAATACTGCCCGAGTCTATTTCTTTAATACACAAAGCTCCAACAATAGATAGCTCCTGCTGTTTGCAGTGCTCGGTAATGTTTTTTTAGGCCTTTGTCACTGAATTAGTTCTGTTCTGTGAACTGATTGATTTAATTGCGAAGCTTTCGTCATCCTTCTAGACAACATTTTCAGCGTAGGTTTTAGTACAAAATGAATTCATTTAAATTCTCCATGAATAATATGAAACTGTATCTCGTGGAGACGACTGTCGTGACTGGATGTTAATTTATGTCTTCACCGATCATTTTCATTGACTTAAAATTCGAACTTGCTTGTCAAGTCATTTACTTTTTACTAGCTGGTAAATTTGATCTATAATAATGTTTTTGTCAATCACTAGCTGATTCACTTTAACACCAGGCTTCTAGGAATTCCCTGCAGTTTCGATGTTTCCTCTACTTGAAATTTTGACATTTTCCCAATCACAAATTGGTTTCCGTAATTATCTACATGGATTGATATGAAAGGAGGAAGTACATCATATCTTTGTACAGCAAATTTGTATTCTTGGACTCGGATTCAAAGGGGACGCCCACTTTGACAGATGTATTGTCTGTTGCAGTTCATACAATATATTTTGTAAATGGTGTTAATTTCATCTCCTTTTCCCGTTGGATCTTTTGGTTTGTACAATATCGAACGAAGTGATTTTGCTGGCTGGCTTGTTTGCTATATCTACTTCAAACGATCTTAATATTCTAGCTGTAATTTCAGAGATATTTTTATATATGGTCATTGACGATGGCTTGTTGTTGAGGTGTTATGACTCAAGTTTATGCCATTGGGCCTTTGCCAATTTATTCAGTATTCTCTAGATGATGATAGAAGGTTTTAACTACACCTTTATTTAGCCATACTGACGATCGGTGTTCCGGAGCACGAAAAATGAAATTCCTAGATCAACCTGATGAAGAAGTCATCGAAAAAATATTCCTTTTTCATGAATTAGTCTTTTTTTTATTACAGCTTGATTCCACATTATATTTTTGGTACCAGTATGGAATTTTCAGCATGGATATCGGTAGCCCAAATTTTGCAGGCCGACCATAGATATCAGGTGTTCGTCGGCGTGGGCTCGAACCCCGGACCATGTGCATGGTCAGCGAGAGTCCTAACCACTGTGCCACCGATGCACTAAAAAAAATATATCAGAAGCACTCACTCAAATAAGGTTCGAAAGGTGTGTGACTACCTTCCGTGTGTGCTTTTATCAAATGAAAGTTTGTTTTTTTGTGATGAAATTATTATTTGTTGCATTTGTTATTATTTTTGGTTTTGTTTTTTGTTGCTCCTGATAAGTGCGCTTTTGGTTTGTTCTCTTCTTATTCATATATACTTGAAGTCGGACAGAGTTGCTATCACTTAACGACTAGACTGTGATAAAGCAAGCATAATAATAATGATCTTGAAATATACGGTAGACAAAATTAAGCATACTTGATCTGATTAAGAAGCTTTCAACAGTTTTATCGCTTGTCATCGTTTTTAGGAGTCTAACAGCTGGTGTTGAGGGCATACGTTGAGGAGGCCGTCAAATGACATCACGCGCCAGGCCCTCGAATGGAGTCCGAATGGGAAGCGATGACGAGTAGTGGGTTGTTAGTGTGAGGATGACATGAAGAGGATTGTGCGAAGAGGAGGTGAGAGATTGGGGGGGGGCAATTTCGGGCCAAGCTGAAGAGGATGGCAAAAAATAGAAGAAGAAAGTGGATCTATGTTGTTGAAGCGGTTTGTTCCACTTGGAAACCAAGGGAATAACAATAATAGCATTATAATAATTACAGCTAGTGTAGTAGACTCTTTGAGGGTTGTTCTGCTAGTTTGTAGTTTTGTAAATAATATAGATAATGAAGACAACACTACGTTTTTGCTGTTGCATAACTTAATATGTGTTGGCAATCCAATTGTAGAATGGTCGCCAGCCATGTGAGAGGACCGGGTTCAATTCCCTACAGACGTACTCGTAAATCTCGTCTAGTTTAGTAGCCGATAGGAAGCTGCGACTTAAAAAAGCTCAGTGACATCGCTACTGAAATGTCAAAGCTTTAAGTCCAATGTTTTAAAGTAAAGAAATTAGAAAGAGTCAAGTCTTTATGGACTACTGTGAAATATTTTATTCAAGTGTTGGTTTGTAGGGATTTGATTGGTTTACAGGGTTTTCATCATTAGCTGACATTAGTTAGAGAACCATTGAACAATCTGGGAGTACTGGACAGCTGTTTCGTCCTAGTTTGGGACTCTTCAGCAGTACGCACCCACATCAAAGGATGAATTGATAATGATTAGCTCTAAACGTCTTCTTCTCCTCTCTATTCATATCTATTCATAGAAAGAAAAACAGAACAAACAATTCGTAGTTGAACTTTTCTGATATACCTTAAAAAGTACATATATAATAGAATATCTTCATAGAACTAACTTTATGATGAAGACTTTAGACACTTGTGCTAGTCAGGTTGATCCCTTTGTGCTTATCACAAAATCAGCTGTTTGATAATGAACTTAAATGACTAACGATTTGCGATTCCTATACACTAATTAACGTCTCAGTCTACTGAGATCCTAAAGTGTACTCCAGGAGTTAAACCATCAAATCATATGCCTTCAGGTGAAAGACACCTTTTGAAACTTGAACCCAGCTGTTTTGAGGATCACATTCTTGTTATTTCAGCAGAAGTGGTGCGTGTGTGTATGTGTGTGCAAATAACTGTAGTAGAGCCAGTTAGACTGCTCGTCAATGTATTTTTGCCCAGTACTCTAGTTATTTCTTTTGTATGGGGTATCAAGCTTACTATCCGTGCTCAACGTGAAGTTGTCTCTCTTACTTTTTTATTTTTTCTTCAAAAAAATATGTTTCTTCTCCTAATTTTCGTCAGGGTTTGTTGAATTTTTTTTCTCTCTTATCAACCGCTTTTTTTTCTTGAAGGTGTAATTAATGAGTAAACTTAAATGCTTTTGTTCCATCCACATTTGTAATATGGCATTTTATTTCAGAAATACTCGAAATATTTTGCTATAGTGTTTCAGTAAGTAATACAACATGTGTTTATTTTTAATTATTGCTTTATTTATAGACGGGGATGGAAATACAGAAAATAAAGCTAATAATGGCGATTTTCCATCCGTTGTTGTTGGTGATTCCGCTGTATCCCCGACTACAACACCTATTTCCCAGTCTGTTGGTGGTAGTTCCAGTGCTGAATTGAAAAGACTACAGTTGAAAAAGGTTTGTGGTTGCAGAAGTGATATTTTTTCCTTTGAAATGTTAAATTATGCTTCAGTGACATTGTAGCAAATACAACATTGACTGACTATGTTGTTCCAATGGAGTGTATGTATACTTTAAGTGGCGTTAGCTAGTTATGCTCCGACAGTCTGTTTTTATCCACCTTTGTCATGCTTTACATAATAACTAACCTATACAAATTCATGACTGTTGTCCGCTTTGTCGATATAGAGTTAGTGGATCACATTACTTTGTTGATCTGTTATTGAGATTTTCAAATACTTCCAATACAACTTTGTCAGCACTACTAACATACTGATGATCTGGGTCAGTTACATATTTCAGGTTTGATCACGAGGTGACATTAGTTGGAGAACTCTTGAAAACCAAGTTGCACTGGACAGTTGTTTCATCATAGTCTGGGATGATTTAGTGGTAGGCACCCATCGGTGTTTGAGGCGAGCTCGTAGACCATTCAGCCACTGGGACCCGATCCGATGGCTCATGAATTCCACGTTCTGATGATTCACAATATATATATATATATATATATATAAGAGAGAGAGAGAGAGAGAGAGAGAGAGATCAGCCACTAGATGGTGTCAGAGACGAGTAACTGTTCTCTTGCTTAACTTGGTGAATACCAGTAGCAACTAGTTCTCACTCCAGGTAACTTTCAGTCGCTAGTGAGCATCGGATTAATTATCAAGAAAGTATTTATTTGATTTCTGCTGAAGAGTCCGAGTCTAAGTAGGACAAGACAACTGTCCAGTACTTCAGCGGTTTTCTAATTGATGTCGGCTCATGATCAAATCTGTAACAAATCAGATCTTTGCAAACTAACACTTGAAAATTATATATATTTGTTGATTTTTTTAATTTTTTCCTTCACATTCCCCAGTGGAACATAGAGCTTCAAGCTAGTGGCTTGAAGTTTCTGTAGCAGTGTTTATTTTAGAGGATGGGGTTGCTAGCCTCATGCCCAACCTTTCCTCCTTATCGTCATTATTTCTGGCTCAGCGAGGTGAAGGAGTGCGTCTGTGGCCAGAGATCGAACCCCTGACCATGTACATGGTTGGCGAGCGTCCTGACCGCTATACCACCGACGCACATATTTGCTGATAGAACCGTTTAAAACTAATTGGAGTTAATCGGTACTTTGTGAATGTGACATCAGTTTGGGTGTGTGTGTGTGTGTATTTATGTTGGCTATCAGCTTTACACTGATTTAAAGAAAACTTTCCCAGTTATTGTCGTCTTTCAAAAACATTTAAGATATTTTAAAGTTTATTATTATTGGCCAATTTGAATTTCTTAATTGTTACTTTTGTCAATTTGTGTTTATCAGAACTGCGAACTGACTATAAATTCCAGAAGAAGTATTACAGTGCAGAAATTAGGAAAGGGATAGCTTTCGCATACTTTTAAATAGCTTTCCTAGGATATGCAACTGCAATATATGGAGAAGGGGGGACTGTGATTACGTGGACTTCAGGTAGAATAGCGAACATTGCATAATTCATTCATTCGCTTAGTCGCAATCCGTTTAACCTTTGCATTTTGTCGCGAATTGAAAGAAGAAGTCAGACTCTTAACTCGTGTTTGCTCAAAAAAAAATCTAATTGTACTAAAATAGCTCTTTCGAGGAGGCTATGCATCTCAACATTATGTATGTATTTATTTCCATGCATTTGACCTCCATAGCGCCTAATAAAGAATCGGTTATGTATAGTGAAATAGTTGTTTGAGAAAGTCATTTTTTTCAATGGATTTCCATAATCTTCTTTTTTTTTGAATAATTTTTGTTCAGAATTTGTTTGTCATATGCTGAGATTATTTCATGCTTTTTTTTTCTAAAATTCTTGTTCTCAATACTCCTATTTGAAAATGTCCTGATGTTGTTGTCTGTGATCACGATGGATAATGTACTTGTCGTCGCTGCTGGTGATCATCATTGTCGCGATGTTGATACTGATACTGGATGTTATACAAATACTATTCATCAATATGTCACTGTTATTAATTATCTACGTTGAATTTAATCATTACAAAAAACGTATTGTTGTCATTGACTACTATCTATAAATTATTTTATTCCATGCATAGGAGGAGGTAAGTTGTATCGGTGTTTGTTATCACTTTTCACTTGAATATGTTTAAACAAACAATAACTTGCTTATTGAATAGTTAGTTAGTTAGTTGTGTGGGAAATATTGACATATTTTTACTGGTTAAGACTAAACTTTTCCGTTAACTGAAATGGGAAGCCGTTACCAGTAGTAGAGTACAGCAGGTTGTGAAGGTGAGGCAGTCACTCATCGAAGAAGACATTGTGAATTAATCGTTCTATGTCATGATTTGACAGAAGTTAGAATTCATGAACTGGCCATTGGACCGGGTCCCAGTGACTTAATGGTCTATCAGCAGGCCTTGTAACCAGAAGGCGTCCTGTCTTCGAACCCTGGTGGTGTGTGCGTAATGCTGAAGAGTCCTAAACTAGGCGGATGAAACAGCTGGCTGTCCAGTATTCCTTGTTGGTTTTCCAATGATTCTCTAACTGATGTCAGCTGATGATGAAGTCCTTCAACCAATCAAACAAAATTCCTACAAAAGACCAATACTTGAAAAACTAAAATTGTGTTTTTGATATAATTATTAGTATTTTTCTCTGAGATATGTCTTTGTAAACTACAAAGCATATTTCCATAGTATCTGATAGAGGTAACTTACTAATTCATGAAAGAGGTAAAAAAGCAAAAGGAAAATCAAGTCGATAGAGAACCCCTCAAACTCTTCTATTTCTTTTGAACTTTTATGCAGTATCACATTTTCCCTTGTTTTTATGTCCATCCTGGTTATAATTAATTCATTAAATTATTTGTCTCGTTAAGTAATTCTGAAACCTCTATTCAACTTTTCTTATTTATTGTCTAATATTAGCAACTCTGATTATGACAACCCATCCCTTTTGTTACTGTCTTCTATTTGTGAAAAAAATTGTATATAAGTGCGATTGTACTGCTAGAGAAAGTGGATTTACCGAAAAGGACCTCTTTGCATAACTTGTAAACACAATGACAAGTATGGCATGACTTCAGTGAATAAAAAGGATCAGTGATGTGTAGTTGTCTCAAAGTTGATCAAAATTAGCCAACTAAGTTAAGTTTTTCTAAATCATTCCCAATTTATTTAGGCATAGAGCGAAAACCAGCCAAACAGGCTGTGATGTTACTTTGATTGATATGGTTAGCACATAAGTTACACATGCTCAAGATTTTTTTCCTTCACGTTCCCCAGTGGAACATAGGGCTTCAAGCTAGAAGGCTTGAAGTTTCTGTAGCAGTGTTTATTTTAGAGGATGGGGTTGCTAGCCTCATGCTCAACCTTTCCTCTTTATCATCATTATTTCTGGCTTACCGAGGTGAAGGAGTGCGTCTGTGGCCGGGGATCGAACCCTGACCATGTACATGGTTGGCGAGTGTTTTAACCTCTATGCCACCGACGCATGCTTAGCATTATTGCACAACAAATTTTGGTTGGAAAGGAGTCATGTATGGTCGGTCAATCCAAAACATCTATGAAGTTTCTGACTATTAGTTTAAGGTATGGCCTTCCAGGCTAGCATCCTGAAGATGGTACTAATAACTGGCATTATTACCCATGCAGTTATTCTTACTCTCACAGATATCCGTTCACTACAGTCGCATTTTATGCCTCTCTCTCTCTACCTTCATTTGCGCTTTTTTCGAGTGTAACAGTTTGAACTGTTGCATTGTTGTTGTATAAAGTTCTACATTGAAAGTATAATTCAGTTCATAAAATAGTTCTTATATGCTAAATCCTGTTAATAATTTAGTTTTTATCAAAGAAGAAATCAGTAAGTTGATCCACATGATAATAACTACATATACATAAATATACATTCTATTAAGTTTTATATTACGCTAACTCCTACTATCAACAGTGGATATTAAAAACTAACAAAAATGGTTTCATTCCAATTTTATTATCAGTTATTCACTCCTTGAATTCCTGGTGGAAATTCAAGGTTTCAACAGCACAGAGTCATTTCTTTCGGTTTTCTGCAGTCTGTTTTTAGGCTGTCTCCTCGATACCCCATAAGCTTTCACTTCCCTTTCACACGAATCCTGTATATAATCCAATTCGTAGCTTCCCATTCTGGTTCTACTCACGGGTCTGTCTGGTTTGTGATATTACTTGTTGGCCTCCTCAGCGTATGTCTAGTCCATCTGCATTTATTTCCGTATATATTTTGGTTAACAGACTATTGGCCGGTCCACTCCCTGCGAAAGTTCCTTCTCACTTATCCCGTCTGGCTGACCTACTGGTCCTCTGTATCAAGTGAAGCCGGCAACTGGTGATGTATGTCTTCAGTAATCTATTTGAAATGACTTCGGTAACATGCATCAAGTGCCTAAATCATATCGAAGCATTGGTCTAACATTAGTGTTGAAAATTTGGACCTTTTTCCTTATGCTAAATGCTGACTCCGACAGCATCATCCGTGCCACTTTCAGTTGAGACTATGATGCTTAGTTGGAGAGATGATTTTACTTCTCATTTTTCCCATTGATGACAACTAACTGATCTTTGTCTTTGTCGGCTAAGTATCTTCATCTTCTCTGTGTTCTTTATATCCCCACCACCTGGAGTCCTATCTTCCTTGCCTCTTCTGCCAAGTTATTAGTAGTTTTCGCCTATTGATCTTCAAGTGTTCGTGTATGTGTGTGTGCGTGCGACAATACACTGACTGAAATTGATCATGTAAAACAATGTAACATATTTTGTACAATATTTATTACTGCCATCTAATGAATTCTTTTAATAAGGAGTTTTTTTTTCTATCCACATTGTACACCTGTTGACTTACTTACCGATCACTTTGTTACAAAGTCGGAAAAACTTAGTACCCTGAGGTTTTTCAAATGTATCACTAACTGCTTCACAGTCTACGGTTCAAATTGTTTTAATTTTGAAATGTGGCGGTAAAAAAAATTTCTACATATCTATGATTTTCATAGAACTACCTATGAAAGTTTTTTCTTTCTTATTGTATAAAAATCCATCTGTAAATGTTTTCAGTTGTTTCGCTTCGATAGACTACAAGACTCCATAATTAGGAAATAAACTCATAAGTTTCTTTTTTCATTTAGGTTGGGAGAATAGTTGAACAGAGGATTCCTTCCCGTTTTATAAGTTTTTTTTCAGATTTTAATTCGATACAGTATCATGCCAAGTAATCCACAACGGGAAACTTACGGAATCCTTCGAAGTGAGGACAGGGGTAAGACAAGGCTGTCTGCTATCGCCAATGATCTTCCTGATTGCAGTAGATTGGATAGTGAGACAGACATCGGGAAATGAGGAAACAGGCATAAAATGGACTCACACAAAAAGAGACTTGGAGGGTCTGGACTTCGCCGATGATATATGTCTGATTTCCCACAAACTAGAAGATATGCAAGTGAAAAGCAACAAGCTGGCAGAAGGATCATCAAAGATAGGACTTCCTTCAGGTGAACATAGATAAAACAGAGGTAGGTGATGAAGATTCCTGGCCAACACCAACAGAAACAACAACAACAACAGACAACAGTCAGCCAGCATGAATGGGAGGGGCCTGAAAGAAACAACCTCCTTCACCCACCTGCCCACCTACCTGGGAAGCATCGTTTCAACTACAGGCGGACGGAACTGACGAAGATATCAAAGCCAGAATCGGAAAAACAAGACAAGCTTTCATTACTCTCAAGTCTCTGTGGAGGTTGACTGCACTCAGCATCAAATATAAGATCCAGATTTTCAACTCCAATATAAAATCAGTACTACTATACGGATCAGAGACTTGGCCAGCGCGTCATTTAGAGCATTTCAAACAAACTTCAGACCTTCATCAACAGCTGCCTTCTTCGCTCAATACCACTCAAGATCAGATGGCCGGCCAGAAAACATCACCAACAGGGATCTCTGGAAATGAGCGAACCAACCTAGCAGGAACCGATTGTGAAACAAATAGACAGGAAGAAATGGAGATTGATTGGCCATACTCTGAGAAAATAAACCATCAAGTGACATCACTAGACAAGCCAGTACTCGAGTGGAACCCGAAAGGGAAGAGGCGATTTGGTTGTCAGTGCGATGGTGGGGTGACTTGGAGGAGGTGATGTGAAGAGGAGATGAAAGCATGTGGGCAGACTTGGAGCGGGGTGAAAAAGTTGGCAGAAAACCGAAGGCAATGGAGACTTGGGCATCTGAAGCCCTATGCTACTCTAGGAATTGAAGGATATAATAATAATAATAAATAATCATTAGTACAGCTCTACTAAGAATTTCTATTATTATAAGCTGAATTACTGTTATCGCGTTATATACAACCCAACTGAAAAATTATATTTGCATTGTTATTTTGTTGCTCTATTTAGTCTTATCGTCTTACTTTCAATTTAGGGAAATTTAACCGCTGAAGAAGAACAAATGATGATGGCACATTATCATTATACGGGTGCTACAAGCAGTATACATCCATTATTATCATCATTTATTAATTATGCACAACCTGTAAAATTTCAAGGATTTGATATTGCTGAAGGTAAGTCAAACGATCAAGTTAGCTTTATCTCTCCCTCTCTCTCTCTGTCTGTGTGTCTCGCAGTCCCCCTGTCTGTCTGTCGTAGCATTCATTTTTCCGGTGTTTTGAATAATTCTTTGGAAAGTTACTTATATAGTTGGAGATACTTTGGCGCAAGGGAGGTTACGTAGCAAAATAAAATCAGAAGTTCTATTCTGACCAACCTTCAATACACACTCTATTATCACTCAATAAATGTGTTAGCTTTTTTTGTTGGTTACCACAAAGTGTTATTTTCTGGACGTTTTCCCATATATCCATTAACTTGCCCTTTGTTTTCGTGTATTCTTCACATTGTGAGAAATAATGCCACCATATTCTGCTTTTTCTACTGACACGTATACGGTATTAAAATGTGTTTGAGTATCCTTTGCAATTAACATGCTAATAATACTCACAAACCTAACAAAGAAGGCTGTGGATGTTATATTGGGAAGGTATTTTCATACTGTTGAGTAATCGATTTTATGAAGAGGACTGAGGTAACAAGTCTCTCGTAGCCTAATGACTGACGATTATATCGGTGTATATCTAGTCGACGGAGTTTCTTCAACATTTATGATCAAATAAGATTTCATTGACTATTTACTAATAATTAATCAGTGTGAGTTTTACATATTCTAAAAGTAGATATTCACGTATTGTATGGGAGTTTTTTGTATACCACTGTAGACTTCAATTATGTATGCACCTTATTTTATGTGTCATTTTATTTGGGAATTGACATACAATATCATTTCATGACAATGCCTTACTAATAACAAGTAAGTCTCGATGGGCAACACTACTGCTCACTGTTGACTACACATAATTTACGCAACTATATGACTTTCTGTTAATGACATTTATTTTAATTATATAATTAAATCTCCCAGAAGTTCAATTTATACGACATATCTTCTAACTAAATCTACTTGAAAAAAGCAGCAAAAACTTAAGAAGGCAGCCTTTCTCTTGGTATCCTTGATGAATTCTTTCTCGTGTCATCATTCAGTTAACGAGGTTGTGGAGGTACATCGATTAAGATGGGTAGGCATGCGTAACACATGCCCTAGCCATCACCTTTCCCGATGGGTAGTGTTAGCTGCTGACATAAGATCAGGTTGCAAAAGAGCTGGTGATGTGATCAGACGGAAACATGGCTTCATCAACCAATGAAATACACAACAGTTAGTTTAAGCCAGCCAGCCTCATCTGTCTGTCTGGATTCAACATAGAACTTGGCACCGGAGTGCACCAGTTCCAGTTGCCACGTTCTAAATACCACACAAAGGTAGACAAGAAGATGAGTGAAGAAAATCAATAGAGTTTGACAGGTATAAGAGTGAAACAGAATGGGTAATGGTAGAAAGAAATATCAAAGATTACAGAGACTGAATACATCTGCGCCATTGACAACGGTTTTGAGCCATGACACCTATTGTCTCCAGCCATTGATTCTTAGAGTCCCGAAGGCCCCAACCCAGAAGTCTGCATCTCCCTACCTGACTCAGTTTAACTGTCAAGGATTTCATGGGTCGATGACATGTTTTTGTATGGCCACCACTTACTCTTTTCCAACCTGCACCTATATCAGCTAGTAATGCCCGTCGGGGGAGGCGATGGTTAGGCATGCGCATCACCTGACCTAGCCATCTCAATCTATGTAACTTTATAGCCTCGTTGATTGATTTTCCCTCTTTGCCCAACACTCTACGCCTAACGTCAACATTACTTACCTTATTAAACCACCTAACGTGAGAAAGAGATCTCAGACATATATGATCAAAAACAGTCAACCTTTTCATGTCTTTAACTCGTATTGGCCATGTTTCAGAGGCATAGAGAAGGACGGAGCGAACTACTGAGCAGTACACACGTCCCTTGGTTGATAGCCAGCCGGATGTCACGCCTACGCCGGACATGGTATAAGTAAGCGAAAGCAGCTCGAGCTTTTTGGATCTGTGCTGAGATTTGGTCGCCAATCAGTCCGTTGATGCTGATACAACTTCCTAAATAGGTGAAGTGGTCAACATGTTCTATCACTTCACTGCCTATCACTAAGGTGGGAGTTGACGTAGTCCAGTCCTGTAGCAGCATCTTACATTTTGTAGGGGCGAATCGCATGCCAAACATACGAAGATTGCTGCTCAAGGTGTTCAGAAGACTCTGCATTTTGTCAGCATCCTCCCCTAACAGGACTATGTCATCTGCATATTCTAAGTCCATAAGATTATTCCCTGGTAACAAGTCGATTCCTAAGTCATTACGTTCAGTTAAGGATACTTCCATTAGCATGATGAAGTTAAACAGGAATGGGGAAAGTGGACATCCCTGTCGGATACCACTGGTTGTTATCAATTCAGATGACAATTCCTCATAAGCCCTTACACGACTACGTGAGTTTGAATAGAGTGCCTTGATTAGTGCAATGTACTTTCTTGGGACTCCCTTCACAGTCAAATTCATTGCCATAGTACCTTTCGACCCACGGAGTCGAAGGCCGCCTTCAAGTCAAGAAATATGACAATTGTTGGACGCCGAAAAGTGTGTCTATGTTCTAGGATCTGTCGGAGAGTGGAGGTATGATCTATGCATCCTCTACCTGGTCTAAAGCCTACTTGATTTTCCCTCGTTTGTTCCTGCCGAGTTCTGCTTAGTCTGTGCATAATTACTGAGCCTAGGATTTTAGAAACTATGTTCGTTAGTCTGATCCCCCTATGATTATCACACGAGGACTTGTTTCCCTTCTTGAATATCGGCATAATAAGTGACTTACCCCAGCCTGATGGAACCGTCTCTGATTCCCAGACGTTGCCTAGTACCTTAGTTAATCTACATACTAGTATGTCACCCCCATATTTAAACACCTCCGAAACAATTCCGTCGGATTCTGCCGCTTTCGTGACCTCACTTGCAGAGGGTGGACCAGTGTCTACATCCCATCCAGGTGTGTGCTGGATGGCGGGGAGGTTCCGTGTGGCTGTAGGCAAGTTAAATTGTGCCTCATAGTGTTCTTTCCAGCGTTCAAGGCGTCTATCCTGAGAGCTAATTAAGGAGCCATTTTTCTCAGAAATAGTCTCGATTATGATTTGCTTTCTCCCACCCGTTCCCCTGATGAGTCTAAAGAGTTGCCTCGTGTTGCCTATCGCCGATGCCTTTTCCATCTCTTTCGCCTTTGTCACCCACCACTGTTCACGGTCCTTTCGGAGACTTTTCGTATGTTTCCTTTTGTGCGGCTTTCAATCCTCGATGAATTCGGAGCTCGCCGGAATAAGTCTTCTAGCATCTATCAGTTCATATGAGGCAGTCGAAATCCAATGGTTTTTACTCACAGCTTTTACAGCTGTATCTATGGCTAAATGAACATTCTTCCAGGCTTCTTCAAGGTGAGTACTAGCTGTGTTTAGCTAGTTCTTCCTCAAATAGGGATTTAATTTCCTGATACATACACTTTAATAGGATACTACATTATTTTGTTAGTGCTCTCTACCTAATTTCATCTGCAAATTTATACCATCACCTGTATAAAAAGAGGTAGATAGCCTCTATCCCGATTGAAGTAACTTTTAAAGAATTAAACATCAAAGAAATTAATTTCCACTATTCATATTTAGCTGTGTTCTATCTCATAATCCCCCATCCATGTTCATCACTTAAACAGAATGAAAATACCCATTAAAATTTTCAAAAGGATGGATACCGAACAAAGAGTACTCTTTTCCATAAATTCATCATCAGGCTCTAGATTTATACATACATTATAGTGAATGAATGAATTAGTGTTATGAACAACATTAATGTTGCTGTTTAAATAACATCAAATCAATAATATTGATAGATTACAGCATCAACATAAAATAAGCTGAATGTCAGAAGAATCACGAAGGATGATATTACAAATTCATGAATCTATAGTTTCTACTGAAGGCTGGCCAGGGTAGTAGTAGGGGCTGGACTTGCTTCTTTTGGATACAGAGCGCTGGTTGTTTGAGGCGAATCGCAATAGCCTCTGGTGTTTGGAGCCTGCGGTGCTTCGATGTCGTTAGCAGTTTATTTGGCACCCGGTATAATATGGAGAAGGATTCATCTACGCTGGCTTTGTGGCCGGGCGGTTTGCACCAGATATTCCAATATCGAGCTGTTAATAGTTTTGACTACACGCTTACTAAGCTATGCTGTGAGATGTTCTCGAGAATGCACGAAAAATCAAGTACCTAGAGAGCAACGGCCAATATAACTGGCCGAATTTATCGAAAAGAGTACTCTTTGTTCAGTATCAATTCTTTTGAGAATGAAAATAGTTTACTGCATTGTAAGCATATTTAAAAGAATTTTGGGACTTGAATCGTGCACTGTCATTCAACCATATGCAGTCTACTATCTGTCATCTGATGAATACTGTGTATACTGTAGAGAAGCTGATATTCTTCTTTATAGTAATTTCGTTTTACTGAGACAGTCACCATCTCAACTAGACTCATAAAAGATCAATAGATACATTTAAGAATGGATGACAGTTGTCAAGTTAACATTACCCCCAGTTGACTGTAGGTTACTCAATAAAACTATACAAAACTTTTGTTACATTATGTCATTCAAAATATTATTATTTTATATTTCAACATAGAGGGCATTTTTTTCTCTGTATTCATGCTCTTTTCAATATTTTATATTATCATATCGATTTTTTTCGAAAATATTCCTCTGGTTTTTTTATAAAGTCAGTGTTTTTAGCAGTTAACAATTTTGCATACTTTCATTATTTGCATTATTCCTGATATATGTTATTTGTGACATGATCGTTTGTCACTAACTTCCAGTGAATTGGATAAAAGGTATTAGTAGAATCTGTTTGTTGTTATGCATACATTTCTGTGTAAGAGAAGAGAGTTACTGAGTTGAGTATTACATGAAGAATCAACTCACATTACTTTTTTTAAGTACATAAACCTGTTTTTGATGTGGTTGTGTTCTCTGAGCTGGATGCCTTATTTGCGAGGCTTTCATCGCCCTACTAGGCGACATCTTCAGCGCATACTTCAATTGACTGAAGTGAGCTTTTAGATTTCTCCACGAGTTTATTAATCATCTCTCCCGAAGGATGACCTTGGACGTCGTTGGTTGTTTTTGTGTGTTTTCACACCTTCTAGGCTACTTGTATTGGAACTGATTGTTTCTTTGACTTGAACTTTGACCCTTTGTGTGTGAGGTTTCTTTCTTATCGGTTGATAAATTTAGTCTATCTCGATGTTTCTATTGATTGATGACTTACTGGAATGCCAAGCTTCTAAAAATTCTCTAGCATTCTTGTTGTTTCCTCTGTCTAATATTTGAACGTTGTCCCAGTCGAATTGATGTCCGTGATTGTCTGTGTGTAGTGATATGAGGGAGTAGATATCATGTCTTTTCACGGCTAGCTTATGTTCGTGGATACGAAGACGAAGAGGAGGGACGTCTACTTTGGCCAATGTAGTGTTTTTCGCAGTTGTTACAATCTATTTTGTAGATGATGTTGGTTTTATCTTCTTTCGCTGTTGAGTCTTTCGGTTGACATAGAATTGAGTGAAGTGACTTTGTTGGTTTGTGTACGACGTCAATTCCTAAAGGTTTGAAGAGTCTTGTAGTGATTCCTGAGATACCCTTTATATATGGTAAGGCGATTTTCTTTGTGCTTTCCTTGGTGGCTTTTGCTTTGGTAGGTTGGCTTGGAGGTGTATGTCTCTCGATGAAATTCCGTGGATATCCATTCTTTCGGAAGACGTCTATGAGATACTTTTCTTCAATTTTCCTTAAGGTGAAAGTGCTGCAGTGAGTCCTTGCTCTCTTGAATAGTGTTTGCATGCAATTCTTTTTGTGTGTTATTGGGTTGTTGCTGTTGTAATTCAGTATTTGGTCTGTGTGAGTTGATTTCCTATAAACTTGAGTTTCTAATTCCCCTGCGGTTGTTCGCTTGGCTAAGACGTCCAAAAATGGTATTTTGCTCTCGGATTCCTCTTCTCTAGTGAATTTGATGTCGTTGAAGACGTTGTTTATTAAGTTGTGAGTTTTATCTAACTCGTTTCTTTTGATTGTTACAAATGTGTCGTCAACATAGCGTATCCAAATCTTGGGTTTGATCTTTGGTAGAATTATGTTTTCGAGTCTTTGCATCAACCGATCATTTATCAACCGATAAGAAAGAAACCTCACACACAAAGGGTCAAAGTTCAAGTCAAAGAAACAATCAGTTCCAATACAAGTAACCTAGAAGGTGTGAAAACACACAAAAACAACCAACCACGTCCAAGGTCACCCTTCGGGAGAGATGATTAATAAACTCGCGGAGAAATCTAAAAGCTCACTTCAACAGACTGAAGTTGTCACCCAGTAGGGTGATGAAAGCTTCGCAAATTAGGCATCCAGCTCAGATAACGCAACCACAATAAAATCATTCACCTGAGCTACAAATCTTCTCTATCATACATAAACCTGTACACAAAGCAATGAATAGCATTATACAAGACTGGGGCAACCGGTGCTATCTACAGTCGTGTTAATTAAGAGTTACTCTTCCCTTTGCTCATATACAGTTAACTGATATAAAATGAAATAACACGATATTAGTACTTAGAGTCGGCTAATTAATTGACATTTTCTCCTACTTTTATGTTATTTACTTCAATATTTTCTGAAATTACAGAGAATATCTTCCGTTAAAGAGAGATCAGTGCTTCAGAAATAGAATGCTCGCCGGTCATGCAGAAGGTTCGGGTTCAATTTCTTGATGTGGCCTGTGGGATATGCCTTTCATGACTACTGATGAGCTAAGTTTTTGACGCAAAGAGAAAAACTAACTTGGCTAATATGTATATATATTGGTGTTAAAAAATTCAAATTTTATCTCTTATGTTGGATTCAGAATGTTTTCAAACTGATTTTGAGAGTGATGAATGTCTGTCTTGTATTTCTGATTCTAGTTTTGACAACGTCATCCGTGCTGTCGCCTTTAGTTTAAACTACCCTTCCTAGATAAGTGAAGGCAGTGACCTCTTTCAAATTTCCCCCATTGATGGTAATTGCTGCTGTTTGTTGTCGCTGTTGGTTGGTTATCTTCATCATCCTCGTCTTATCTGTGTTAACTTGAAGTCCTGTTATGTCGGTGGCTTCTGCTTCTGCAAACTTGTTAGTTTTCGTCTGTAAATCTTTCAGTTTATGGACATTAGACATAAGTAATCTGCGAAGTTATAATCTTCTAGAGTCTTCTTATCAGTTCAGTGTACTCCTATCTTCTGGTTCCAATCCTCAGTCTTTTGCACAATTCCCTCCGCAAAAATTAGGAATATCATCATCGGTGATGATATACAGTCTTGCCTTACTCCTTTCTTTATTTTGAACTTTCTTTTGAGTTTTCTGTTCTGGATCAGCTGACACGTGACACTGTCATATAGCTGTTGAATAGAGTCTCCTAATTTACTAGCTTTCTAGCCGGTCTTAAACCTGAGAAAAAAGGGGAAGGTTGGCCGTCCGGTTAGTGAACCTAGCCAAGAGAATTAATCAAGTAACTTCAGTAACTTTTTACACACACACAGAATGTACTAATGTACTTCATAATTACTTTCTACGCATGCAATTATCTCAGTTGATGAGTTTTAACAAAAGAAAAATTAGTATAAGCATTAGATGATAGGAAATATGAAAAACACGGTTGTAGCGAAGATAATTTTCCTTTCGACGAAGTCATTAACTAGGCTGTACATTCGTGTATTTATGTATAGTAAACGTGTGAGAAATTTTCAGAACTATTTCGGGTCGAAGGACAAATTAATAAAATTATCAATATGGGATCAATATGTAATAATAAACAGGACGATCGGATAAAAACATAGTAGGATCATAATTACCGAGAAAATTGACTTTTTGTGCCGTTAGGGATTAAAGGTGTAGTAATAACAAAATAGACAAGAAGTTCAGATATGAAAGGTAATAAGATAATTTGTGTTGAAAGAATTAACTATTTACGGTGGCTATGGTAGAGAAAAGGGTTGAACGTATTTCTTCTAACTAGAACTGACGTTTATTCTGATTGTTGGTAAACAAATTTTCTGTGAAAAGTGACCCCTGTTCTCACTTTCCTATTTTAAGTATCGTTGAAGAGTTTTAAACTGGCTTATATTTGCAGTTGTTCGATAATTATCCCTAAGAAAACGGTGGCGGACCGGGATATACTCAGGAGACTCTTGAATGAAATTACACGCTGGTGAGGCCCTCGTGCGGAAACTCAATGGTGTAGGTCGAGCGCTGACATGGAGGACATCGTATGAGGAGGAGATGAAAGCTCGTAGGCAATCGTGCAGTCATTTAGTTCAATTTAGATTTTGCCGTCGATTAATTCGACCGAAATGCTCGGTCTCAGGTTAACATCTCGGTTCCTTGTGCAAATACTTCGACGGTGTATGCCTGGTCATGTCACTTGAAGTCAATTGGTGGATGGTGACTAGCAGTGGAATCTAGGATGCGCGTCTCGTCCTGTTTGAGACTCATCAGCTGGATGTACCTGCATTTCCCGGTGAATCAGGGTGTTCTCACTATCCACCCATGGAATCGTTTAGTCAAGCTCAAAAGAACTAGAGAGAACAGGATGTGAAATGGAGATGTGTCGTTGAAGCCCTATATTCCACTCTGAACTTAAGGGAATGATAATAATATTATTTTGAGTAAGAGTTTAACATAGAATTAACCCTGATATTTAGTGTCACTAGTAGTACTCTTTGATAGGGGCCTGTAAAAATTGCCCACTTACTTATCTGATAAGTAAGCTTAGATTTATTAAACTGTATAACCGACTGTGGCTACAATTGTTTTTCATAGTGTTAATAGGATTCCATAATTTAGACTATTGATACATTGGCGTGTAAATACAGAATAACTAATGATCTTTGTTTATCAGTATTGCTGTTATAATGGTGACTAATGATCATTGTTGTACAATACAACAATACAACGTGGTACAATCATACACATGTGGATAAGAGAACATGAAGACATTTTGAAAATTGATTGTCATGTAAATTTTAATTAATAATTTGCCTGTTTAGTTAGTTGATTATTACCTAGAAATATGTGCTGTCATTGTAGCCTATCATATTATCATTTGATATTTGAATTTATTCTTTGGTACTATAATACACTATACTATACTATGCTATACTATATTATACTGTACTTCACTTATCTATTATTCAGAAGAGAATATACATCATCATATGTCTTCATTCAGTGAAACAATGGCATTGGGTTTATTGAAGAATCAAGCAATAGAATTTGTCAAGTATCCTCTTCTTTACAAAAAGACAGATATATATATATATATATATATATGTATCTGTCATCCCATTGTTGCTTTTTATTCCCCTATTAATAATTTAAAATTTAGATAAATATTCATCGATGTTGTTGTTAGTAGTATGCATGTTCGTATAGTGTTACACACTTATGCGTACACCTCATTGATACACAATGTCTTGTTATTGATGTTGTACAATAGTTTGGAATGTGTGTTTTACTGTCCCCTACTTATGGTTTTGTCTTTTTTCACCAGATTAATGATCTAGTCATATTTTGGAATATGTGAATAATTACCTAAGCATGTTTTGTGCCTGTATTTGATTGTGTGCGTGTGTGTGTATTTGTCTGGGCGCATGTATATTCATCTATGTTTGTTATCAGGTTATTCTGTATTCATCGGTGGTGGATACACCGTCCAAACAATGTTTTTGCATTTTGTTCTAACTCCTAGAAGTGAAATATTATCGGATAATGCTAGAATGTTTATTGAAAATAGGATCCGGATTTACAACTCCAGTGTGAAGTCAGTGCTGCTACTACTATACGGATTAGATACTTGTCGCCGCGTCACGAAAGACACTTTGAACAAATTCCAAACCTTCATCAAGATCAGATGGCCAGAAAAGATCAGCAACAGGTAGGGATCTCTGGGGGTGAACCAACCCAGCAGGAACCAATTGTGCAAAAATCTGCAGGAAGAAATCGAGGTGTATTGGCTTGGCAATACTCTGAGAAAACCATCAAGTGACATCACACACCAGTTTATCACTCGAGTGGAACCTGAATGGAAAGCGTCGAGTTGGTTGTCAATGCGAGGATGACATGGAGGTCATGCAAAGATGAGGTGAAAGCGTGTGGACAGACGTGGAGCTAGATGAAAACGCTGGCAGAGAACCGAACGCAATAGAGACGTGCGACTGAAGCCTTATGTTCCACTAGGAACGAAAGGAAACAATAATTAATAATTCTGGAATGTTAGTCATCTGCTAGTGATCTGTCAGTATTCGTCATTAAGGGGACTTATACATTACCTTCAAAGTGATCAATCAAAAAGAAATCGATTAGAAATCAGGATCTAAAAGACGTTCAGATTTGAAGCCATCATCCAAACAATCGACATGGAAGTTTTCACAAAGTTGCATCAGTTCAAGCTAATACAATTACGAAAAGAAATGTGAAAGAAAGGAACGGAAATGATGATGATGATGATAATACGAAAGGATTAATTAAATGATAAATAGATAACAAAATGTGAATAATAAACGCTTTATTCGCCCTCCTTCGCCTATCTAGTCATCATCGTTTCAACTACAGGCGCTACAAAAAAATATGTCAAAGACAAGCAGGCAGGGAAGATTGGAAAAGTAACACAGACCTTCATTATTCTGAAATTAACGTGTAAATCTTTTATACTCAACATGAGAAACAATATTGAGATTTTTAATACTAATGTTAAATCATTTTTATGTGATTCAGAGAGATGGTGGTGCATCACCGAAAGCATTTCTGGTGGGCGACAAACTTTTATCAATAGCTGTCTTCACTAACGTGATACTGAAGATCAAATGGCCTATTTGGACAGATTAGCAGGAAGGAATTCTGCGAAAGATCCAACCAAGAAATTATTGCGCAACAAAGAAATGGGGTTGGATTGGGCACAATCTGAGGAGACTGCTGATTGACAGTATGTGCCAGGTAGGCCTTTCAGGGGATAACGAGTTGGGCGTGGGTCCGAGAGTGACTTGAATGAGGTTATGTGAGGAAGAAATGGAAGTTTTTGGGCATTCGTGGAGCCAGTTAAAGAGGAATTCAGAGAACATAGTGAAATGACGATGTGCTGTTGAAAACCCTGTGTTCCACTTGAGAGTCAAAAGACTAATAGCAATAATATATGCATTACTGTGAATGACCTTCAGCTTCATTACCGATGGTTTCTGGCAGATATGAATCTCTTTACGTGGTTTATAGCAACAGTCAATGAATTGATGGATGGATGGATGAATTGCATGTTATGTGCTGACCACTTTTATCTCATTTTCAACGTAATGCGATTTTAGCTAATTTTACCGCTGCAGAAAGGCAATGACGTAGTATGCGCAAAAGGTGTGTTTTAAATACGTCAGTCGATAAGGATTCACAACCTCATAGATTCTCTTGTTGTTTTTGTTTACCTAACACGTCCTGTAATATATGTGAAAATTACTCATCGTATTTCACAAGCGAATGAAAGAAGATCCATATTTTTTTTAGTTTTAGTGGCTGTATTCCTCAGGTGTAAAGTGGAACAGAATGAATGAACTGCTGCACAGTCCCTTCGTGTTAACCGTTTACAACCATTATAATATAAAAAAATTATTTAGGAAGTAAAATATCCCGACTACAGCCCCCTGGTAACTGATTCCTAATCATTCATGTTTATTCATAGATGCCTAATAGTTAAATTTCTTCTTAAGACTTACTCCAAAAACCGAGTTAGTTTACCATTAAAACCGACATTTAAGCCGAAACACAAAATTTTAAATTCTGGTTTTGAAGTGACATAAAAAGGCTGTATGTTACAATGAATTTTTGTCATGTTCCCATTCTAATTGGGGTAGTCCTATAGTCATTCTAACAGCTACTATTCATCTCTACGAAAGTCTTTTGTTTGCATGTGAAATACTAACACTATTGTTTTGTACTGCGAAAATTTACTGAAGATCAATTAAATTCAACATGAAAGGGGATAGACATCTGTTTGAATGATTTTTAGTAGGTTTTAGGAACACTGAAATTTTTCTTGAAATTCCTGATTATAGACATTATGTCATTCTTTTAATACTTTCCTTAATCTCCCATACTGTCATAAATCCTATTATAATTTTGCTTAAATGATGAGAATTTTTCGTGTTTTACGGGAGCTGCTTGTCATCTTGGTGATTTTCATGTAATCACACTTGTTAGACATCATTTATTCTCCGTAATGCTTTGTGAGACTATTGTAAGTAAAAGTTCTCATTTTTTCGTGATATTTGAACGCGGAGGTTTTAAACGTTTCCTCCCTGCTCATTGTAGTTATTAGAGTTGATAATAATATTCAACCTGATTATTGAGGTCACGAATTATTGATGTCCAAGTGTCTAAAGTAATTTCAGCATTCATATTGACAGTAGGAGTCATAAGATTAAGCTGATTTCATACATTTGGTACCCTTGATAAATTTGGATAGAGAAAGAAAGACCAAATTTGCAGTATACAATAATATCATTCTATTTCACAGGTTCTCATCAGTTGAAAACTACCTGAAATCACAATGGTTATAAATGATGACATTTCATACTTCAATGTTTGAAAGGTAATGGAGAAAAGATTATGAGATGAACGCATCCGGAACAATAGCAATAAAATATTCTAAGTTTAAGTCACCATCAATTTATACGCTTTCGAACTATGAAAACAGAACGGGGTTAGGTGTGGGGTGAGAGAAGACAGAAAACAGAAAATTCTAATAAATATTGTTATCTTGTACATCAACATAGTAACTCAAGAAGGTTGAAATTCATTAAATTGAAAACTTGCTTAGTGAGCTGGACTCACTAATGTGCATGATGAATCAGTGTAATCAAAGTACAATACAGTCACAAAGGGAGTCAGAGATTGACTACACTCTCTTTTTGTTGTGTGTGCATAATAAGTTTGGTCTGAAACGCTTGATTGAGATTGCCTCGGTAAATCGTAGTAAATTCTTTGTCCTTTGTATGTTTAATATTTTAAGAGGATTTAGAAATCTCGACAAAAATGACCCGTACTCACAAGGTATCTGGTATCATATCACTATGTTCTTCGGCTGTACACTGTCTTCAGAAGCAGGCGGATTTTTTTATACATTCTAGCTGTTTTCGAATGTGTCCTCATTTTACACAAAGTACTATTTTTTTTTCTATTTTTGAGTTGTATTTATCGTTAGGCATAACGATATATATTCTTGAAGTGGCATTAAGTGGCTCTTTTCAATTATGACTAGATAGAGAGGGGTATACTTATTATCAATATTGTCATTTTGTTTTGAGTGTTGGATATGCTCGCTAGACATAAGAGAGAGAGACGTCCAGGTTCCATCTTCAGCCGATGCACTCCTAAGTCTCGTCTGGCAGGTAGTAAGCTCGGAAAAATGAGGAAAGACTAGGAGTAGTAGGTCTCATAAACCCATCACTACTGAGACTTCCACTCGGAATACAAGGAATTGAAGTTTGAAATCGATTGTCAATCAGCACTCTACTCCACTATTCCAATAGGCTCTGTAGTAGTCCTTTTTGGATATTGCTCATCAGTCATTATCACCAGTCAAATTGATATGCTCATGTTGTTCTTATTAATATTCTAATATGACAGACAACGGGCAATGAGGAAACAGGCATAAAATGGACTCACACAAAAACTTGGAGGATCTGAACTTCGCCGATGACAATATAAGTCTGATTTCCCACAAACTAGAAGATATGCAAGTGAAAAGCAACAAGCTGGCAGAAGGATCATCAAAGATAGGACTTCCTTCAGGTGAACATAGATAAAACAGAGGTAGGTGATGAAGATTCCTGGCCAACACCAACAGAAACAACAACAACAGACAACAATCAGCCAGCATAAATGGGAGGAGCCTGAAAGAAACAACCTCCTTCACCTACCCACCTACCTGGGAAGCATAGCTTCAACTACAGGCGAAACTGAGAAGGGTATCAAAGCAAGGATCGGAAAAACAAGACAAGCTTTCATTACTCTCAAGTCTGTGTGGAGGTTGACTGCACTCAGCATCATATATAAGATCCAGATTTTCAACTCCAATATAAAATCAGTACTACTATACGGATCAGAGACTTGGCCAGCGCGTCATTTAGAGCATTTCAAACAAACTTCACACCTTCATTAACAGTTGTCTTCACTCAATACTCAAGATCAGATAGCCAGCCAGAAAAGATCAGCAACAGGCGAGTTGGTTGTCAGTGCGATGGTGGAGTGACTTGGAGGAGGTGATGTGAAGAGGAGATGAAAGCATGTGGGCAGACTTGGAGCGGGGTGAAAAAGTTGGCAGAAAATCGAAGGCATTGGAGACTTGGGCAGCTGAAGCCCTATGTTCCTCTAGGAATTGAAGGATATAATAATAATAATAATCTTTTAACTTATTTTTCACAAATGTGTTGATACTCTCTTGTGTATAAGGACTACTTTTTTTCATCACTAGCAGCATGACGTTTCGATTTGAAGTAAACAAATATGCGTGCTATTTTTAAGTATATGTCTGTGTATTTTGTGAAAAATATGCCAATGTTGTCGTAATATATATGTATATGTGCATTTTTTTTCAAAGCATGTCTATTTCTACTGTGCATGTTTTGCTCATATATATATATATATATATATATATATATATATATATATATGTTAATGTTGTCCCCCTCGCCACATTTCTCGTTTTCTTTTTGTGTCTTCTTTCTGTTTTTACTTGTGTTTCTCTTCTCTTTATTCATTCAGAGCGTAATATAAGTCATCATATGTCTTCATTCAATGAAAGTGTCGCTTTGGGTCTGATCAAGAAAGATTGTATTGCATTTGTCAAGTACCCTTTTTTTATAGTTTTATATTTTTCAGTGTTAATAACACTTGACATTTATTTGCATTGTTAATGTTATGTTGTTGATGTCGATTATTCTACATTAGCTGCTGCTATGTGCTTATTGCATGTATTTATATATATGTGCGTGTGTGTGTGTGTGAAGTGATCAGTAGTTTTTCGTTATATGTATTTCCTTGCTGTTATTATTACATAATTCATGTGTTCTAGTTTTTATTTAGTTAATTTGGTCTCATAATCCTTAACTCTCTATATTTACAAATAATAATAATCCAGTTATAATAAACGTCAAATGAGTCGAATATATCCTAGAGGGAATCGTGTGGATTCAAGTAATTATATGCCACAAGTAAGTTGCATTTTTTTTATTATTATTTAAAAAAAACATTAAACATTAACAGATTAGAGTTTATTTTATAGACTAGACTCCTTGTTTGTTAGATGGTTGAAGGAGATCGATAGGAAGCTTTGCTTGGCTTAGGTTTCGTGCTTGTTGATGCTCATCAGAAAGGCGTATAAACTACTGGTGTCCTTTTCTGAGATTCAAATCGTGGTCACTGAGTGCAGCCATCTGTGGTGTTAACGCCATTAGTCTATTCGGGTTATGGACTGAACACCTCACTGGTGACGTCCTCACTGAGTGACCTGGGTTCGAATCTCAGAAGGGATATGAACTCCTCCAAGGTTGCAGCAGGTGTAGTACGCTTTTCTAACGAGTGCCAACAGACATGAGCCCTAGGACCAGTGCTTACTGCTAAAATTGCCTACGATCACACAACAACACTTCAGAATGCAAGGTAATGCTAGGTAACCATCTAACATTGACTGATAGAATTCAGTCTGAACCGGGAACCGACTTGATTGTTTAAGTATTGGTTTGTAGAGAGGATTTGATTGATTGGCTACATGATTTCATCATGAGCTGACATCGGTTAGAGAACCCCCTGATGAAATCCTGTGAATGGCCCTATTCAGGTAGGTAGTTATTGCTTTGGGATTCTAGTGGGAAGTAGTGACCAGTATAGTCCAGTATAGCAGGTTGCGTGTGAGGATAAATACTCGTCGCAATATGTCAAGACTTGGTTGTTTTATTTTTCTTTCTCGTCCTCAATTCCACTACTCTGTTACAAATAATTTATGTGTGTGAATATTTGCTTTTACGAGATATCAGTTGATTTAAGACTTCAAGATGACTAGACTGTTTACTGTTCAATTTGCCTTAATTACCTTTATCAGAAGATATTTTTTTGCACTTTTGACCATTAGACAAGTCTGGTGGTCAACAGATTATTTTCAATTTATGTTTAATTTAAGCAGTGAAATAATAATGATAATGTTAAAATTGATTGATATTAGATGTGGTCATTTATTTCACTTAAAAGTCAGCTCGTTAGCTTATATCTACTTTTAAGTCTGATCTGTGTTATTATTACTATTATTGTTAATATCAATTTAAACATTTCTGGCTTTGTTTTATTCACCAATGTTTTCTCTACTCCTCGTAAATACGTGAATTAGTCTTGTCGATTCAGAGTATGCAGAAGTTGTTGCGCCCTTAGGGGTGAAGAGGCTGACGTAATGTAGTTTATTTTGAAAACATTGAGCTCAAATCTTTGTATGTATATGTGTGTGTATTTATTTATGCATGCATGCAATTCACTCCCTGTCAAATGTAATATAATTGTTGCAGAACTGATCTTCACTAATGTCAGGTGTAAGGATGGATATGAACTGAGATGGTTGAGTGAGATGTGACTACTTCACTTATCGACCCCCAATGGGCTGATTCCTGAAGATATCTCAACCAGAAGACAAAATACTCTTTTGGTATTTGTCAAGTCAACTTCTTTATTTTGGCATAGGTTTGACAACTGGCTAAGGATCAGAGTATGTGGTGTGTGTACTGTGTAGCAGCAGTTCTCTGCATCCCCTTTTTCCGACTGTGCGTCGGTGGCACAGTGGTTAGGACTCTCGCCGACCATGCACATGGTCCGGGGTTCGACCCCCTTCTGACGCACACCTGATATCTATGGTTGACCTGCGAAATTTGGGCTACCGATATCACATGCTAAAAATTCCATACTTGTACCAAAAATACAGCGTGGAATCAAGCTGTAATCAAAAGATATTGACGTTGAAAGTGGAAGAAACTTATCGTTTTTGATCATAGAACCCAGGTTTTCCAGTGGTTTTCTAATTGACGTCAGCTCATGATGAAATCCTCCGTGCAATCAAACAAAATCCCTACAAAACTAATACTTGAAAATTAATCTGATGATTACTAGTGACTGTCCCTATTCAGGCAGTTAACCTGGGGTTCTAGGGGAAGCCGTGACCAGTAGGGTACAGATGAGGCAGTAACTCATCGAAGAATACATTGTGAAATGGTCGTGAATTGCCAGAAGTTAGAATTCAAGGACCATTGGATCGGGTCCCAGTGGCTCAATGGTGTACGAGCTCGCCTTGTGACCAGAAGGACCTGGGTTCGAACCCTGACAGTGGGTGTGCACTGATGAAGAGTCCCAAACTAGGACGAAACCACTGTCCAGTACTCCCTGGTTTTGTGGTGATTCTATAACTGATGTCAGCTCATAATGATAATTGTCTGCGATTTCTACGTTAAGAGTAGAGTGTTAGACAAAAAGTGAAAATTAGACGGTGGATGCGGTTGTGAAGCTACATAGAATGTGACTGTAGGAACACGTATTACGCATACCAAGCTATCGACTACCTCGTTGACAATGTTAGCTGATATAGGATTAGAAGAGCCAAAAGAGTTATAGATGGTCCAGTCAAAACATGACACGAATCCATAAAGTCACTGGCTGCTGCATTTTTGTGCAAAGATCCACGTGTAAAATTCAGTTGATTTGTAAAAAAAAATGGAGGTCAACTCGGTGCACCGTTTATAAATGCATTTATATGTGTAATGAAGACACTTTGTAATGTGATTTTCTATTGAAAATTTCCCACTGCAGATCAAATCAATCGCAGTAATAATCCTAAAATTGTATATGGTAGGCTAAGTTGTTTATGTTTTGACGAACTTCTAATCCAGTTGTTTATGTGAATATACATGACTGTTAGGAATCTAATACATGTGTCTGATAATAATAAAATATGCCAAGTGGAAAACTATATATATATATATATATATATATATGCGTCGGTGGCATAGTGGTTAGGACGCTCGCCGACCATGCACATGGTCCGGGGTTCGATCCCCGGCCACAGACGCACTCCTTTACCTCGCTAAGCCAGAAATAATCCTGGTAAAGAGGAAAAGTTTGGCATGAGGCTAGCAACCCCATCCTGTAAAATAAAAACACTGCTGAAGAAACTTCAAGCCACTAGCTTGAAGCCCTATGTTCCATTGGGGAACGTGAAGGAAAAAATATATATAATTTCTTGTGCGTAAGTGATTCGGTGGCAGAATACATACCAACCAAACACGTTGTTCGCGATTCCACCCCCTACCGATACTCCCCTAAATCTCGCTTAGCCAGTAGCAAGTCCAGCAAAGTGAGGGAGTTGAGCATGAAGCTAGCCACCTCCACACCGTTAAAAATAAAAATCCTTCTAGTTAGACCTCAAAGCTGTGAGTTCGAAGCCTTACGAGGACATAAAGGAGTGAAACAAAAATTTCTGTTGAAACCAATTTATCATGTTAAGAAGTTAAGCTGTTAAAACGCTGCCTCGAGAGATAGACATGCCGTGCTTCTTTCAAAAAAATTCTGTTAATCATTAAGCAATATACATAAGAATAGATTAGGAACAATAAACATTTCATATATTTTAAATAAATATATAAAATTTCCATAGTATTTTGCTTTGACATGCTATACAGATATATCTATGTTTTAGACTGCATAGCGTTCCAGGATTACATCATGACCTGACATCGATTAGAGAGAAAACGATTGGAAAACTAACAGGGAGTACTGGACAGTTGTTTCGTCGGCTTAGTTTGGCACTCTTCAACAGTACTCACTCACTGAGGCTCTACGAATCCCAAATCAGGACGAAACAGCTATCCAGTACTCCCTGTTAGTTTTCCAACGGCTCTTTAACCGATGTCAACTCATCATAATGAAATTCTGTAACCGATAAAATTAAATTCCAATGTGAACACCAATATTTGTGAATATATATATATACAGGGTTAATTTAATTTCTCACTTTAGCTATTCAATTCGGTCCTATTTCTTTTCTGTTTTATTTTATTTTTACACTTGACTTTGTTAATTTTTGTCTTTCCAAATGCTTATCGTCTTATTCAGCGTTTAAAATTAAAAAAGAACTGGGAAGAAAATTAAAAATGGATGACCTCACCTTTACTTTCTTGTTTTCTATTTTTGAATTCTGTTATTTTCTCTCAGCTGGTCACATTACTTATGGCTAAAGTAAAAAAAAAGGAAGAGGGAAAACAAAAGATGGAAGTGAATATATCATCACTTCTTGTTAACCTTATTTACCTCCACATTTTCGATTGTTTTTCACCTTTAACTCATTCATTCACTCATGCAGTTTTATTCACTTCTTCACCTTTTTGTTCTTCTCTCTGTCCTTTTTTTAATTATGAGATGTATTATGTTATTCTCTTAAAGTAGATATTACTTTTCAAAAAAAAACTAGGGATTCATTTGGAAGAATTAATTTATTAATCAGTAGATTAACCTCGAAATGAACAAGAAGAGTGAATAGTGTTTAAGAATTTTTTTAATAAGCGAAAACCAAAAAAAATAGGTTGGACTCCAAGTGAACATAGACAAGTTGGAGGTTATGAAAATAACCCACCAACCAACAACAACAAGAACAACAGCAGCAACAGCAACATCCAGCGTCAATCACCATGAAGGGAAGGGATTTGAAAGAGGTTACTTCATTCACTTCATTCATCTAGGGAGCATTGCCTCAACTACAGACAGTCGGAACGGACGAGGATGTCAAATCGAGCGAGAATCGGGAAGGCAAGAAACACACACACATTCATCAACCTGAAATAAATCTAAAAATCTTCGTCACTCAGCCAGCATCAACAACAAAATTCAGTCGGATTTTCAATACAAACAACGTCAAGTCAGTGAGTTCTTCTATACGGATCAGAAAGTTGGCGGGGGGCGGGTCACAAAGAATATTTCCAACAGTCCGTTGCAGACCAAACCTTTATCAAAAACTGTCTTCGCTGGCTATATACTGAAGATCAGATGACCGGGCCGGAAAGAATCACCAACAAGAAACTGTGGGAACAAACAAAACAAGAACAAACCGATCGCTCAACAAATATGCGGGAGATGGATTGGACACTCGTGGCTGAGGAGGCCGGCTGGTGACATCGCGCGTCGGGCC